TATTCAAGTGGTGTTTTGTTATTGGACTTCTGTGCCAGTCATGGATTGTCCTTAATGAACACCATGTTCAGACATAAAGGTGTCCATATGTGCTCTTGGCACCAGGATACCTTAGGCCGCAGCTCGATGATTGACTTTGTTGTTGTTTCGTCCGACCTGCGGCCGCATGTCTTGGACACTCGGGTGAAGAGATGGGCGGAGCTGTCATCTGACCACTACCTGGTGGTGAGTTGGCTCAGATGGTGGGGGAGGATGCCAGGCAGGCCCAAATGTATCGCGAGGGTCTGCTGGGAACGTCTGGCAGAGTCTCCTGTCAGAAGGAGCTTCAATTCCCACCTCCGACAGAACTTCCAAAATGTTCCGGGGGAGGCGGGGGACATTGAGTCTGAATGGACCCTGTTCCGTGCCTCCATTGTTGAGGTGGACGACCGGAGCTGTGGTCGCAGGATCGTCTGTGCCTGTTGTGGTGGCAACCCCCGAACCTGCTGGTGGACACCGGCGGTAAGGGATGCTGTCCACCTGAAGAAAGAGTCCTATCAGGTCTTTTTGGCCTGTGGGACTCCAGAGGCAACTGACGGGTACCGGCAGTCCAAGCGGAACGTGGCTCGGGTGGTCGCCAAGGCAAAAACCCGGGCATGGGAGGAGTTCGGTGAGACCATGGAGCAAGACTTCCGTACGGCTTCGAGGAGATTCTGGTCCACCATCCGGTGCCTCAGGGAGGGAAAGCAGTGCGCTACCAACACTATCTATAGTGGGGACGGTGTGCTGCTGACCTCTAGCCTGGCAAGCCAGACTAAATAAATGTATTATTTAGTCTGGCAATGCTCCATTGATGGTTCTCGGTTGTGGGGCGGGCTCTACCATTGTCTTTCAAATGATCTCCGCATGCTACTGGGCAATGAATGTGACATACTTACCACAACAGCTATCGGTAAATGAGGCGGTCCGCAGTTGAAGAAGGAGAAAACACATAATTTTTTTCTAAAAAAGCACTTAAATACATCTATCTGCTCCTGATTCTAATGGAGCCCAAGTTCTAATAGTCCAAAATTGATGTAAAAGCCATTTCAAATGAGCTGTCGCAATCTTGTTTCACTCTGTTGCATCGTCCCACCCACCATGCATATAGAGTGCCCTGATTGGCCCACAAAGCGGATAAAGCTCTGTGATTTGTTCACTAAGCAGATAGAGCACTATGATTGGCCCACCATTATGGACCAATCACAGCTCTTTATGTGTTTGAACCCCCTCTAGAGAGCTGTGATTGGCCAGCCAGAATGCTGTTAGGGGCTGCAGAGGTTCCAGTGGAGCATTCCTAGACCAAACTTTGCAAAGCAAGAATTTGGTCTAGTTCACTAGGCTAGCTGACCTCTACTCAGGACGTTGTGGATCGGTGGCAGAATACTTCGAAGACCTCCTCAATCCCACCGACACCTCTTCCAGTGAGGAAACAGAGTCTGGGGACTTGGGGTTGGCCTCTCAAATCTCTGGTGCTGAGGTCACTGAGGTGGTTATAAAGCTCCTCTGTGGCAAGGCCCCAGGGGTGGATGAGATTCGCCCGGAGTTCCTTAAGGCTCTGGATGCTGTGGGGCTGTGTTGGCTGATGCGGCTCTGCAATATCGCGTGGACATCGGGGGCAGCCCCACTGGACTGGCAGACCGGGGTGGAGGTCCCCTTATTTAAAAAGGGGGACCACAGGGTGTGTTCCAACTACAGGGGGATCACACTCCTGAGCCTTCCCGGTAAGGTCTATTCAGGGGTTCTGGAGAGGAAGGTCCATCGGATTGTTGAACCTCAGATTCAGGAGGAGCAATGTGGTTTTCGTCCTGGCCGTGGAACACTGGACCAGCTCTATATCCATAGGGGGATCCTGGAGGGTGCGTGGGAATTTGCCTAACCAGTCAACATTTTTTTGTGGATTTGGAGAAGGCGTTTGACCACATCCCTCGGGGGGCCCTGTGGGAGGTACTCCAGTAGTATGGGCTACCAGGCCCTCTGACACGGGCTGTTAGGTCCCTGTTTGACCGGTGTCAGAGCTTGATCCGCACTGCCGGCAGTAAGTTGGGCTCGTTCCCAGTGAGAGTTGGACTCCGTCAAGGCTGCCCTTTGTCACAGATTCTGTTCATAACTTTATGGACAAGATTTCTAGGCGCAGCCAAGGTGTGGAGGGCATTCGTTTTGGTGGCCTGAGGATCAGATCTCTGCTTTTTGCAGATGATGTGGTCCTGTTGGCTTCATCAGAATGTGATCTTCAGCTCTCACTGGAGCGGTTCGCAGCCGAGTGTGAAGCAGCTGGGATGAGAATCAGCTCCTCTAAATCTGAGACCATGGTCTTGATCCGGAAAAGGGTAGAATGCCTTCTCCGGGTCAGGGATGAGGTCTTGCCCCAAGTGGAGGAGTTTAAGTATCTCGGGGTCTCGTTCACGAGTGAGGGAAAACTGGAGCGTGAGATCGATAGGCGGATTGATGCTGCATCTGCAGTGATGCGGGCATTGTACCGGTCTGTCGTGGTGAAGAGAGAGCTGAGTCAGAAGGCGAAGCTCTCGATTTACCGGTCGATCTACGTTCCTGCCCTTACCTATGGTCATGATCTTTGGGTAGTGACCGAAAGAACGAGATCGTGGATACAAGCGGCCAAAATGAGTTTTCTCCAAAGAGTGGCTAGGCTCTCCCTTAGAGATAGGGTGAGAAGCTCGGTCATTCGGGAGATGCTCGGAGTAGACCCGCTGCTCCTCCACATCGAGAGGAGCCAGTTGAGGTGGCTCGGGCATCTGGTCAGGATGCCTCCTGGACGCCTCCCTGGTGAGGTTTTTCGGATGCGTCCAACCGGGAGGAGACCTAAAGGTAAACCCAGGACACGGTGGAGGGATAATGTCTCTCACCTGGCCAGGGAACGCCTTGGGATTCCCCCGGAGGAGCTGGCCCAGGTTAGCCTTGTGAACTAGACCAAATTCTTGCTTTTTAGTTTGGCTTGCCAGGCTAGGCCCAGGTGGCTGGGAAGAGGGAAGTCTGGGCCTCGCCTTAGGCTACTGCCCCCGCGACCCGGATAAGCATCTGAAAATGGATGGATGCATGGATGGATGGATGGGACTTTAGGCAACCTCCCTGGAAAACAGGAAAATTGATGACAAATAAGAGACGGATAATCTGAATGGTAACAGAAGAGCCCAGAAAATCTTCTAAAGAGATTCAAGGTGAGTTTTAAGCTCAAGAAACATCAGTGTCAGATCGCACCATCTGTCGTTGTTTGAGTGGGGGACAGCATTGTTGAAAACAAATTATGAAAAAGCCAGACTGTAATTTGGCAAACTACATGCTGACAAGTCACAAAGCTTCTGGGAGAATGTCCTATAGACAGATGAGACAACAATGGAACTTTTTGCAAAAGCACATCTGCTCTATGTTCACAGATGAAAAAATGAAGCATATCAAGAAAAGAACACTGTCCCTACTGTGAAACATGGAGGAGGCTGTGTTATGTTCTGGGGCTGCTTTGCTGCATCACATGGTGTCTTGAATCTGTGCAGGGTACAACAAAATCTCAAGACTATCGAGGGATTCTAGAGAGAAATATACTGGCCAGTGTTAGAAAGCTTGATCACATGTCATGGGTCTTGCAGCAGGACAAAGACCCAAAACACACAGCTAACAACACCCAAGAATGGTAAAGAGGAAAACATTGGACTATTATAAAGTGGCCTTCTGAGCCTTAACCTCAATCCTATTTATTTAATGGCCTGCTTAGCTGATTTGAAGCAATGGATGTCAATTAATTTTATGAAATTGAATGACCCGAAGAAAGAGATTTTAGTTTTTGGCAGTGGAGACCTGTTGAAGGGTGCGGTGAGCCTACTTGGTTCCCTTTCGGATTTTTTAAAGCCTTATGTGAAAAACCTGTTTTTTTTTATGGATGGTTCGTTTAAATTGGACAGACGGATAAGTGCAGTGGTCCAGTCTGGTTTTTATCACTTGAGGCAACTTGCAAAGGTTAAGTGCTGTTTGCCGGAAACTGTCTTTGAACATGTTATTCATCTCTTTGTCTCCTGTCGACTAGATTACTGCAATTCCCTGTACTATGGATTAGGGCATTCATCCTTAAACCGCTTGCAACTTGTTTAAAATGCAGCAGCCCGCCTTTTAACAGGTACAAGGAAGCATGATCACATCTCTCCAGTGCTTGCTTCCCTTCACTGGCTGCCAGTGCATTACAGAATTCAATTTAAATTGTTGCTTTTTGTTTATAAATCACTTTATGGTCTGGCCCCTCCTTATATACATGATTTATTGTCACCCTACAATCCTACCAGGAATTTGCGGTCGGGCTCACAGTTTTTATTATCAGTTCCAAAGGCTCGCCTATAGACGACAGGAGATGGGGCTTTTTCTGTGGCCGGTCCTACACTCTGGAACAGTCTTCCTCTGCAGATTAGGCCCTCACAAAGTCTGGATGTTTTTAAGTCCTTGCTTAAAGCTCATTTATTCAACCTGGCTTTTATGTAGGAAGATTTTATTTTGCCATTGTCATTCTTTCTCATTTTTATTGATTTTATAATTGTGTGGTGTAATGCTGTTTTTATCCTAACTTGCTGATTTTTATGGTTTTATGGTTTTTAGTTATACTTGTTTGCGATTTTATCTTCTGTGTTGTACAGCACTTTGGGTTGCGGAAGCAATAATAAGTGTGCTTTAGAAATAAATGTGACCTTGACCTTGAGCATCTTTGGAAGACGCTGAAACATGAATTCTTGAAAAGGCGCCATTCAAACCTGACACAACTGGAGCAGTTTGCTCATGATGAATGGGCCAAAATACCTGCTGATAGGTGCAGAAGACTCATTTACAGTTACAGGAATTATCTGATTGGAGTGATAAAAAGATTGTGCAACAAAATATTAAGATAGGGGTACTGCCATTTTTTCACCCAGATTGGACTATACAGTTTAGGTTATTAGTATGTCACAACATCAGTGTAGTCTCTCAAGTCTGGATCCCATACTGGACAGTAAACAGTAACATGCAATCTCTTTGAAGCTTACTAAACTTAGTAATTTTTTTCTCCTATTCTTCGTGTCTGGTTCCATGACGTCAAATAAGTGTTTTCTTGTCATCTACTGTAAATGTGTCTAGAATTCACAGATAAATTATAAATGACCAGGAGACTCATTTATAAAGCTTGCTTATGCACAAAACGGGGTCAGAAAACTGAGTAAGCAACTTTCCACACAAACTTTGGGATTTATGAAAAAAAAACTTAGTGGAAAAATGTGCGCAGCTTTAAGTTGACTAAGGATCTTGCTTATGCACATTTTAGACATGGAGAGCACCTGCAGTGCTGCTGCTGAGAAGGATAAACTTATGAAATCCTGCAGCATTATCACTTGTACCACTTCGTTTTCACACTGAACAAGACCCCCCCCCCCCCCCCCACACACACACACACGCGCGCACACACGCACGCGCACACACAACCTGAAGCGCAGAATACGGAATGCAGAATATCAGCAGGGGGACAGATTAAGACAGAATTTCATGCGTCTGTGACAGTGTGTGTCCTGTCACTGTGACCCAATTGATGATGCACCCTGGCTACTTGGACAAGGGAGATTCCTGTTTGGGAGACTGGTTAGCGTGCATGATTTTCACCTGGTAGTCTGGAGATCAAATCCTGATCAGACCATTTTTTATGTCCGCCACAGATCTCTCTGAAGAATTCACAACATTGACAGCTTCAGCAACGCTGTGCCACTCCGTGGATTTTCTCTTATTTGTTTTGCAAAAGCACTTCCTTTCATTTCTCCACCTCGCCCACAAGTACCTCAATTTCTGCTTCTGTGAAATTGCACTTCCTTGATCTTCCTTGATCTGCCTTGATCTACAGTCGCCATCATCATTGGCGGAGCGCTGCAACAGCCGGCTTATGCATGAGATCCACAAGGCACTTTGCATTGACTATTTATGGCAGTAAGTGGGCATGGTGAGGGCGGGGTGTGACTAAAATACAGCTGAGAACCTTTCTAGATAGTTTCTGATTTATGAAGCGGAGATTGCGTGCAGCTGTGCGTACTCCATGTTTGATAGATCACAAACCTACTTGGCATAAGTACATTTTATTTGCTGAGCTAAAGTACGGTTTTAGTAAGGATTCTACGCAATGTTTGATAAATGAGACCCATGCACTTGTATAGTACCTTTCAGAGTAAGGACTCCAGAGCGCTTTACACTACAGTGTATCATTCATCCATTCACACACACATTCACACACTGATGGTGATGAGCTACAATGTAGCCACAGCTGCCCAGGGGCTCACTGACAGAGGTGAGGCTGCCGAGCACAGGTGCCACCGGTCTCTCTGACCACCGCCAGCAGGCAAGGTGGTTTAAGCGTCTTGCCCAAGGACACAACATCAGAATTCTCTGTCCGGAGTCGGGATTGAACCTGCAACTTTCCGATTACTGGACAACCCATTCAACCTGTTGAGCTACTGCTGCTCCAGACATCATATGTGAAATCCATGGGACCCTAACCCTAACCATGGTACATATCAATATAATTCTAATGGTTAGCTTCTACCTGCATGAAAAACTCAGAGAGACCGATTATAATCAGAAATATTAAATAAAAATGTATTTTTTCCTGTGAAGTTTGACTTTTAAAGCATTTGAAGAGAAGCATAAATCAAGGCTTTGACGCCCTCACGTGGTGATAAGTTGGATCTACACATTAGTTCTGATAAAGCATTGAAAAAAGAATGGGAGATGGTGATTTGGCGCCCTCCTATGACCAACAAGCCAAACTACACTCCAGTTCTGTTTTGCCATTTGGAGAACAGGAAAAATGGTCATGAAGCGCATTAATTTAATAAAAGACAATTGTTTATCACAAAAAGGAGAAGAAGGGGAGATGGACGCCCTCCAGTGGCCACAAAATGGAAAAACGTACGCTCATGCTAGTGCAGGAATGTTGCTCCTGTGGCAGTTCAGTGATTTTGCACAAAATGTGTTTTTAAAGGTTAACTATGAATTTTTCTATTTGAGTAAAATTTCTCACGTTGTGAATAAGTCTTAATTCAAACAATTATAGTTTGTGCTATCCAATGAATGAAGACACTTTTCAAGGAAACTGTCACAACTGTGAACAGGAAAGGAAGAAAAAAACTCTATTTTCATGTAATCTAATCATGCGAAAATTTACACAACAAACTATGTCAACAAATTGCTGATTGTTGAACGAGAATGATCTTTCTTTCTTTTTTCTTGTTGTTTCTTAAAAGATACCCCTTTGAGGACATTTAGTATCATTACAAAATTACAATCCAATTAAAGCTTTTAGGGAAATCCGAAATTAGTTAGGGGATGATAATCTGCCAAATACATTTTAACTCATTCTTCTGAATACAGAATTTATTTTTGTTTGTGTTGGAGGTTTAGAAAAATAATGAATAGCCTATAAGTCTTTATTGCCCCAAACTGCATGACCGTATAACCTTGATTACATGCGCACGAAAAACAGATTGAATGATGTTTATAAGTTAAATGACTCCACAACGCCGTCCTGAAGGGGAGGTGAGAGCAGGAGGAGATTTATAATGAAAGGAGGTTTGCAGCAGCAGCATCGACAGCTGTCGGTCGGTTGGAGGTGAACAGCATTCAAAATATTTTTAAAATCCTACAATTCTACACTTCCGTCCTAAAGTTTGATTTTATCTCGGCTCTGGGTGTGAACACAGTGCTGGAACGCGCCGACGTCCGTGTTTCTATTGGCTCTCCGCTGCGTCGCTCAGAAAATGACGACTTTGCTGCTCAAACCGACTGATGCTGAGGCTTCACTAACACCGAGCCTCTGAAGAACTGTTGACGGAACAAAATGACCTCCCCGTCGTGTGCGCTATGCGTGCGGATTCGGGGCTAACCTCCAACCGGATCCCGCCTGAATGAGACGTTTGGTCGTGTCACGACGCACAGGCCAAGCTGATGATTTGCCCCGGTCGATCCACATGATGCTGCCTTTTCGTCTTCCCTCATCCTCCTCCTAATCATCATCATTTTAATGGAAATGATGCCCTGCGCTTCTCAGACCGAGCGTTCTCAGCACACGGACGGAACATCGCAGCAGCAGGTAAACGATGGCTTGATTTCATTTTGGAGCGGCTTGTCTTTCTCTAATCCTTTACAATTAGTGCGCGTGCGTTGAAATCAGCCTGCAAATTGATATTTTAGGGCCACGCGTATTAGTGAGACTTGTTGTGCAACGCTATGGTGAACACGGTGTTATAATGAATGCACTGGCTGCTGTGTAGGCTGAGAAACGCGTGGACAGCGATGGAATGATGCTGCGCTCTGCGACGCATCGGCGAGAGAGACGCAGTTCGGTGCAGAGACCAGCATTAGCTGCTACCCCCCCCCCCCCCTTCTCGCTTCATACTCACGCGCGTGCACATCACACACGTGCACGCGGATCCACGCACCAAGTTAATAATTTCACACTCTCACTTATCCCCTGTCTTTTCAGCTTTCAGACACCAGCAGGCGTTTGATCCGCGTGGTTTCCTGCATCTTTGAGGAGGTCACAGTTATGATGATTACCTCATTTATTTGGTTGCAAGAGGAAGCTTAATGTGACAATTTTGGCAACATCATAATTACATGCACATATTGTATGTCCCACAGTGTGGAACTAGCTTCTTGCAGCATATCCTTAAGTGACTAGCCATGGATGGCCTGCACATCCACCTTATTTCTTCCCCTTGGAAAGCAGTGTGGAGTGTACACTGCATAGGAAAACGCCCACACAAGCACATGAGCCAAATCCACATTAAAGTGTTTGCTTTTTTCTTTTCTTTATACTGCTGAATAAATCAAGTGTTTTACAAGTGTGACAAGTCAGGAGCCTTGATGACACCTGTCCTGCAGCCTTCACTCACAAAAGAGACCCTTAATAATTGGACAGCCAGCTTTTGGATATTCTATATGAGCATCATGCTGCTACTGAAGTCTGAGCAGAGTAATCCCAAGGTTGAATTCTGGTTGAAAGGAACTCAAGGTTAAACATGGAAAACAGAGTTAATTCATCGTTGATATATTCAAATGTTCTGCTGTTGCAGCACATTTTGATGCTAAGACTCTTGATCCAGATGAAGAACTTCTCAAATCAAACAAAAGATTTAGATCTGTTCTGACTACATGAGCTGATTGTGTGTTTCCATTTTTCCCTCCTTTTAATGGCTGAAACACATGACACACTGTGAAGACCCACATCAACACACTCATTTATGATGCTGAGCAGATTCACATTACACAGAGAATGACTTGACTCACTTTGACCTAAAAAAAAAGAAAGATTCACATTTCATTCTGCAGCTTGAGCTTGTTGTTTGATCAATTACTTGTTGAATGTTTATTGGAAAAAGCTGGAAACTCAAACCCAATCATCCTACAGAAACTCATTATTTTCTGAAATCAGATCATAAACACTAAAATGTGTGAATGGAAGAGGTAAATACGGCATGCTGTAGCAGCACATTTATATATTCTGTCGTTCTTCTGAGGCTTTTTTCAGTTTCGTTTTCCTTTTTTAACTGAGGTGAAATTCATGGTCAGGTCAGAGCGTTCACTGTTTTTGTCTTTGGATATTCTTTGCATGAGTTTGATAGTATGTTCTGGATCCTTAAAGAATAAAGTCCCAACAGTTGTCACACACACTGGTGTGTGGTGAATTTTGTCCTCATCATTTGACCCATCCCTGTGGGGAGTGGGGAGCTGCAGCATAGCTGCACTTGGGAACTATCTGTTGGTTTAACTCCCAAATCCAAACCCTTAAAGCTGAGCATCGAGCAGGGAGACATTGGGTTAAGGTCTTTGGTGTGACCTGACTATGATTAGAAACTCCATCTCCTAGTCCCAGGGTGGACACTCATACCACCTGGCCACTGGAATGCAATGTTCTAGTTAACCAAAAGTCTTTTTGATCATTGGGGTTTTGGTGGATTGGATATTTGTGGAGACAGTTATGAATCTAATCTTTCTAACAGCTTTTCTACTCATGCAGCTCCTTATCACCACACTTCTATCTCTGGTTCACTGTCAGAACTGCATGTACTATTTTGAAGTAACAACCAAATTCACTACAAACATGTCATTCGAGCCAGAATTCACTCTCTTAAACTCATCTGAACAGAGAACAAGCTCTCAGCTTTTTATCGGGTTTTGCTGTGTTTGTATCATGTACATGAGATGCTATCCAAAGTGGGGTATTTCTTTGTAGTTTAACGTTCATCACTGTTTTGTTCACTATCTTCATATATTTGTCAGTTAGTCTTTCTATTGTTTCCCACATGGAGTCATGCAAATAAAATCAGGAGAAAACTTGAGAAAAATAGTCATTCCAATCCAGAAAAAGTTGCACCTGTTAGTTTGTTTTGTGTAAACCAGGAGTGGGGAACCCTGGTCCTTGAGGGCTGCTATCCTACATGTCTTTGCCCCAACACTTCTGATTCAGTTGATTCGCCTGTGCAGCAGCTCATCAGGCTCTGCAGAAGCCTGCTAATCACCTGCTGATTGAAATCAGGTGTGCTGAAGCAGGGTTGGAACTAAAATATTCTGGATATTGTTCCTCGATGGACCAGGGTTCCCCACCCCTGGTGTAAATGGATGAAAATGTAAATGTACAAAGACACTGTTACAACTTCATTTTATTATGTGAAATTTGATACTTCAGTGATTGAAGGATGTGGAAATACTTTGTTTACTAATTGTATATTTTAACATTTTTCCTACTGTTTCACGTGTTCTAAACTTAGCTGGTTGAGGATGAAACAGACACACACACACACACACACACACACACACACACACACACACACACACACACACACACACACACACACACACACACACTGATGTACATTTAAAACAACACTGCTTCATTTAGAAGAACACAGAACCCACCCATCCATCTGAATTACATAACTTGTAAAGTTGGGTCAAGCGACATGAAAAAATAGTTTTTTTTAAATGTTTTATTATTATCTACATTTTTAAAAATCCTTGTTTTATCGGTATTGTCACATTTTGTTGTGAGGTTTGGATGTGTAGAAAACTGTTGAGTGTTTACTGAAGATCACATCTGAACTCGACTTTGTTTCGGAGTTCACACATTTGTTTAAAAACGTTTTTAGTGAAGGCATACTGAGCTTCTCCTGCGAGGCTGGTTACACATTCTCTCTAAAATGTTTGTTTTTGAAACATTCTAAAATTAAAATGAGAGAAAAATCAATAGAAATATGGTAACCAAAATGAAAAACATTTTCTGGTTTCTTACTGATCTAAGGATGAGGCTGACCTGTATTGATAACGTATTTAAAAGCGTCTTCTTGTCTTCCAGATGCACTCATGTGGAGTTTTGGATAGAAGAACAAGAGCAACGTAAATATTTGGAATAAAAGGACTAACACGTGCACTTGAGCCACAAATAAACAAAGCTGAGTCTTTTAAAAAAGTATTACAAATTTCTGAAGAGTACTGAAGAAAAACAGACTAAGATGGAAGAGGAGTGAAGATGTAGTCGGATGCTTTCCACGTGTCTCCCGGAGCCTGCAGTTCACTCTGTCAGCCGCTGGTCAGAGACCTCACATTGAAGCCGGAGCAGCCCATTTCACCCGGTGGAGGAGACCCCACTCTTGGTGATGTGATGAATAAGTTTGAAGTCCTTGGCATTGTGGGAGAAGGTGGGTGGTTTAAAACTGCAGCTTTCACTCCACTTAGTGTTGTTAACCTCTGGCTCACCTGATGATGATCTGGGTCACTCTGGCTTTTTCTTTTAGAAACAAATTGAGGCTTTCATCTTTGTTTAGCTAATGTTTCATCATAACATTAGTCAGATGTTGTGTGCTCTACCGTTCCCTGTTTGGAGCCCAGAAAGGTCCGAGATTACAGAACTTTATTGTGGAGGTTGGAGGAGTTTATGAGCTGCCAAGACATTCACCTCATCAGCTTCATGCTAGATGAAGATGTGATTCCAACTTTCGTCCTAGGTGTTTTTCACCCTTACTACTGAACAAAAGCTAGCATGATCTTATCTAAGACTTGATGCTCCTGTCACAAATGCAACTTACGCACCAGTTAATTCATTTTTTTAGGGTAAATCAAATCAAACTACATTTTATAACGCATTGTTTCAAGAAGTGTTAAAATCCTGCAAAGCTTTTGTTTGTGTTTCGCATTAAATGTCCTCTAACAGCTCAAAGGGCACATTACGCCCACCTTCAAGTTGGCAAGAAGTGTTAAGTTTTACAGGTTGGAACAGCAAAAGAAAGAAGAGACAAGAACAAAATATCACACTATATCAACAGTGACCGCTGAAACACAAATATGACACCATACAACAATCAATAGTGTGGCACATTTATATCTTAAAGAGCAAGTTCACTGAGAAACCGTCTTTTACTTATTTACTTGTTATTTTTTTAAATCCGATCAGCAGTGTTGGGAAAGTTCATTTTAAAAATGAGCTAGTTCACAGTTCAGCTGTATATTTTCTGAGGTAAATGGAACGCACCATGACGTCCTTCCTCTGCAGCATAGGCATAGAAGCTTTTGAAAGCTTTTTATCACTGCTGCATTGGGAGCATCCTGACATACTGTCTCACATCATGGTACGCCAACTGTACACAGGCAGATCGGGAGAGTCTCCAAAGAGTTATTAAAACAGCCCAAAAGGTAGCTGGACTGCCGCTGCCACCACTGGAGGACATTTTTAGAACTCGCTGCCTATACAGAGCAACGTGCATCCCGGGAGATGTATCCCACCCCTGCGTTATCATCTGGACGGCGCTACAGAGCTGACAAAGCCTGTACTTCGAGATTGAACAACAGCTTTGTACCTAGACCAGAACTGAATCTGATGAAGTGAGCCTTTAATGATCTTAGAGTGGGAATGTCTGTGCAAACTTTTTATCCATTTTTGATTGTTTTTAATAAATTTTAATGGTATGAGTGTGTATGAGTGAGGAATTAGAGGAATGTTGCCATTCCTCTTTTAAAACATTTTTAGTATTTTTTATTCTTTATCATCCACGGAGTACAATAAACTTTGTTTCATAAATTTCAACAACAATAAAGGAGAATTGAATTGAAGAAGAGCAGACACTGCACTGATCGCCACTGCCTATGGCAGGCGTATTGCAGGGCCTTTTTTTTAATATAAAATCTGTGGTTAACAGGATGTTTTAGCCAAGGCTTTAGCTCTGTGGAGATCTGGAGCTCGAGCTGCAAGAGAATGCCTTTCATAAACCCGTTCATGCATGCCATAATGAGAACGTTCACTTTGAAATTAATCTGGCAAAATACGAGCAAGTTCAGTTCACATCAACAAAAAAATAAATAAATCAAAAGAGTTCACAATCGTTCAATGAACACTGCTGATCATTCACTGAGTTTTACATGCAGGCTACACATGGAAATAGTCTTCTACCCCTATTTCCTGCATTAGCTGCTGGGGGGAAACTCTTGTTAGAAAAGCCGCTCAGATGTCACATTGAAAATTAGCATTCATGGACTCACCCATCTTAGCTCGTGAAGGCTGTTGTTGATTTATCCAAAAGAGAGCAGAATACATCTTGGTCACTGGAAGCTAACTGTGAGCATTAGCAACTTAACAAAATGGCAGAACTCCTTCAGGCGTGTGTTTGTAGAGATAAAAAAACATCAACATTGCAGAGTAAACGAGTCAGTGGTAGAGTCACGTTGCTATTAGCCAATCAGAGGTGAGATATCTGTGTTCCAGGAAAAATCTGCCAGTTTCCTGAAACAGGAGCGCCAGCACTGTTTTCCCATAGATCAACTTACAAGGCGCTCATTTGTACTAGAGACCACGGCAAATATGAAAAAAACAAGTGAACTTGGTCTTTTAAAAATAAATCATTCTGGAATTATTTTCTGTATCACAGCTCAGGGTGGTACTTTTCTGCCTTAAAACAGCAAGACATTCATATAGCTATTGTTAAATGAAATAATTTAAAGTGCACATTTTCCTGTTTGAAACTATTATTCTTTTAACTAAAGCCCTTATAGCTAAGGTCATCAGGCTGTCAGTTCTTTTTGAAACGATTCATGAAATTAACTCTGCTAAAACTTCTACTGAACGTTAAACTTAGATTTTAATATTTAACAAAAAGGCTTAACATGGGGATAAAGCCACAGCAAGGGTTCCAACGTTCACTCGCTCACATAATATTAAAGGAGCTGAGTCAGTAATCTCTATGAAGGATTATATGCTGTATAATCTGATACCTGACTTTATCTGATTTTTATTTTAAAAAATCCTTATCCACTCTGTGTCAGGGAATTCATTCTTCAGATTATGCATCCCTCCAGATTCAGGCTGCATATTTGGGTGGTGGATTAGGGTCAGACACAATCCCTCCTGATCTAAACTTGTTTGTCAATCTCGTTAAAATCAAAGCGATCAAAACTTAAATGTACTTATCACATGCCATCTTAACAGATATATTCACTACTTGCATAACTCTTGTTATATTGGATCAAATCATACAGAAAATGATGATCTAAGGTAGGGATGAGCTATGCTTCCCTTAACACTTTCTTTATATTTTTTATTACTTAATGAAGTGACATCAGTCCTGCAGCTGCAAACTCATTTTGGTAAAATGTTATATTTTCTTTTCAAGTTTAAAATGATTTTCTAACACATACTCCTAATTAAATATGAGCTAAAATGTATCAGTTACACATCATAGAAAAGCATTTTAAAGTATTTCTCCTTGAAGCCATTTTTATTACCCTTTCCTGAATTTTATAAGTGAAAAAAATCACATATTGATTCAAAATAAGTAAAGTATTTGAACCTTTGTGACCTGTTCCATTTATCTGGGTAAACTAACAACATTTCCAAGATATTTCCATCCTTACTGATGTCTTAATGACAGGTAGACCAATATATCGGTTGGCTCATATTGGGCCAATATTTACAGTTTTTTTTATAAAACGGCATCGGCCGATACTTGTCCTTAGAAAAGCCGATTTAAAGTCAGGTATGTCCTCGAGTTGTGTGGTGCTGATGCAGAATTCATTCTAAATGTATTTATACGTTCACTAATAACATCTGCATAATGAATACTCTAAATTAACTTTATTTAGGTGTCTGACTTTAACACTGAGCAGTGCACACAGTTAAGATTTAGGCTTCAGAATTTTTGTGCATCAACTGATGTATAAAAGCATAAAAATGAGGTGGAAAACGTCTCAATATTGGCCATGAAATTTGTCTCCTAAAAATCTGCAGTACAATTGGCCATGTCTCCTACATATCGGCATGGGTATTGACGATAGAAAAACCAATATCGTTATTTTAACTTGGCTTTTCTAAAATGTGAATGATTTTTTTCTCTTTTTTTTTCAATTGAATTACTCACTTTATGAGTTCATTTGAACACAGACCAAACCTACTTAACCATTTTTTTGTTTAAAATTTGTTTAAAAGTCAATATTTTTTTCTGTCATGGGCAAACAGCTTCAAACCATGATGCTTTCACCACCCTTTTTTGAAACAAAACCATTCTGTAGTGTGATATTCTGTTTTAAACGCACGCTGCTTCTTTTAGGGTTAGGGTTTAAATGCAGGTTGAATCTCAGAGTGAAATGCTTAAAATCCAGATCTGACATATTTATGCAACCCTGTCTTTATAAATGTACACGGCCTGTCTCAGGAGTGACAGAAGGCAGCAGCAGGGTGAATTCTGGGACGGTGTTTGCCAAAGGTATAGACATAAGTGAGTGTGTGGGTGAATATGTATACCTCTCCCTCTTCACTGGGTCTCACCTACTGTACTTTTGTTGTTTTTTATAAACATCTTTGGAAGCCAACCATAATTGCAAAGTTGAAACTCAACCACATGTTTATGACCTTTTGTGTCTGTCACTATGTTTCTTGCTGTCCAGGAGCATATGGAGTGGTGCTTAAGTGCAGGCACAAGGTGAGACTTTCTGTTGATCTTACTGTCATTTGTGCTGTCATGTCAAGACTTTGTGCTGTGGTGTATTTTCACTCTCAGAATACAATCTGATAGTCTTGCAGAATAAAAAACACAAGCATTAAAGGAGATGTGACTTTTGGATTTAGTTGGTGCAGCCTGCCAAGTATCAACAAGAAAATAACAAAAAATACACAATGACAGCAGCAAAATTTGGTTTCACACCAGCAGGTTTTAAATCACATTAGCAACCTTCAGCTAGTTAAAAAAAAAAAAAAAAAAAAACGTTTTCTTTTTTGCTGTTAAGATATCCTTCAATATGGCGTTGCCCAGAGACTTAGACCCACAGCCATGTACTTAAGACTCAATTTTTATGGGTATATGTTATAAAGCCACCAATATTTTTCAACAACTGGGCATCACTTAATTCATTTAGATGGATATTTACAGATTAATGGTAAAAACCATTGTCTCTTTAAATAAATGATTATTCCAAAAAACTAACAAACATTGATTTCATTCATCCACCATTCTGCCTGCATGGTGCCAACACCTTGTTTTCAAAGAAACTGGAGACAAAAGACGTAGAAATGGGTCCAAATAATCCAAAGATTTAAGACTAAAGTTCTTTTGCTTCTAGCACATAGCACAAGTTTATGTATTTGGCAGATGATTGAGGCTAAAAATAAGCACAAATCAGACTCAAATGGGGTAACAGTGTAGAACATAGAGTACAAGCATAGCAGGAAGTGCACAAGGAGAGTGTGGTAGGGGAAGGAAAGTGCAGGAATGACAGATAAACATCATGAGTGTTGAATAATACTTCCATAACTACGTGGCAGGGCTGGTCGATATGGCCTAAAATCAATATCACAATATATTGAGGATTTCACCTCGATAACGATAAATGGCTGATAACTACAGGTATGCGCAGAAACAAAAGTTGTCCACTAGATGGGGCTGTCACACGTATTAGTTAAGTCCAGGGGTGGACTGGGACCAAAATTTGGCCCTGGCATTTTTATGAACTGTCGGCCCTCGGCAGGGGAGTTTGCTGCTTGCGACTCGTCTATCCCGCCAAATGTGGGGTGAGGGATAGGGTGTTGTGTGCGCTGCTCGCGGACTTGTCTCTATAACCGCATGTGAGATGGGGGCTTGGTTTGGGACGGCCCAAGCTGGGCAAGTGGCCCACTTGGTTAAGCGGCCCACCGGGACAGTGCCAGAATGCCAGATAGGCCAGTCCACCCCTGGTTGAGTCACATTTTTACGTGATTAAAGGTGGTACAGCTTCTTAAAGGGACATGAACATTGCCAACCTACACACATATTTTAATTTTTTTATTATCAGATTTATTGACATGGTTCAGAGTCTGAAATTTCCATATTGATAATTTTTTTTATTTATTGCCCAGTCCTATACTACGTGGGTTTTTATGTCATTTTTGTGCTTAATAGGCACAGTGGTTTTGGTTCTATTATCTGGTATAGTAATTTTCTCATTTCATTAATGTATTTGCCTAATGCAGATTTTACAACTGGGTTGTGCAACAGTATTTTGACTGCATTGTATGGAAGGCTTATATTTTAGGATATAATGATTAGGAAAGTTAAAAGCACCAAAGCTACTCAATAATGTGTGAACACCTGCAAGCCAAACCCTGGAAACACCAAAATCCACCTACAAGCTGCTGTGAAAGACTTGATCAGACAGCAATTAGGTTAATGGCAGATTGCTGCAATTGCTTTGAGGACATGGTTGGAGTGTTAACTAAGTGTTTAATCTGAGAGAGCTGCAGTAACACCCTTCAAACCACTGGGCATCTGTTGACAGCTTTTTCAAAGCTAAATTTAGCTTGTTTGTGTAATTGTACTGGGTGGATAATTAAAAGACACTAAATGTTTCATTCTGGAGATGACTTAGTAAATTTATTTAGATATTTGTTTGTATCATGACTAAATCAGCGAATGTTTAATTTAAGGGAATAGATTTGAGTTTGGAAACAGTTAGGTGTTATCTGAGCTCCTCTAGTTTTAGCTGATGTTGCTGTGTGTCTTACAGGGGAAATTCTCAGCTCTTTTGTTTGTCCGGGTTTTCTCCTAATTAAAGAGTTTTCTGCTGTTTTGTTTAAGGCACTCAAAGCTCTTGTAAATGATGCATGTTGTAGGGATTTTAAATGACCTTCCAGCTAGAGTTGGTTTGCTGATTTTAAATAAAACAGTCACAAGCAGCGATAAAATAAAAATATAATGGGTTCATATATTAATTAATGAAAATGGTTTATCTGTGCAATATAAAGAAAATGAATGAAAAATTACTGTAAAATAAGACCTTGTATTTTAGTTTGTTGCAGAATTGGAATAACCTGTTGAATCAAAAGGAACTGCGAACTGGAGCTGCGGCCACTGGATTGTCGTGCCGGTCGTGATGGAGACCCCCAAACCCGCTGGTGGACAGCGGCAGTTAGAGATACTGCCAAGCTAAAGAAAGGGTCATATGAGGTCTTTTTGGCCTGTGGGACTCCAGAGGCAGCTGATAGGTAGTGGCAGTCCAAGTGGATTGCGGCCCGGGTGGTCTCATAGTCAAAAAACCGGATGTGGGAGGAGTTTGGAGAGAGACCATGGAGCGAGACTTTCATACCGATTTGAGGAGATTCTGGTCCACTATCAGCGCCTCAGGAGGGGAAGGCTATGCGCTACCAATACTGTTAACAGATGTGCTAATGACCTCAACTTAGGACGTTGTGGATCGGTGGGCAGAGAACTTCAAATAACTCCTTAATCCCACCTGCACGTTTTCCAGTGAGGAAGCAGAGTTCGGGGACTTTGAAGTAGGCTCTTCAGTCTCTGGTGCTGAGGTCACTGAGGTGGTCTAAAAGCTCCTCGAAGACAAGGCTCCAGGGGTGGATGAGATCCACCCGGAGTTCCTTATGGCTCTGGATATTGTAGGGTTGTGTTGGCTGATGCGGCTCTGCCGTATCGTGTGGACATCAGGGGCAGTTCCACTGGATTGGCAGACTGGGGTGGTGGTCGCCCTGTTTCCAACTACACGGGGATCACACTCCTGAGCCTCGCTGGTAAGGTCTATTCAGGGGTTCTGAAGAGGAAAGTCCGTCAGATTGTTGAACCTCGGATTCAAGAGGAGCAATGCGTTTTTCGTCTGGGCAGTAGAACACTGGACCAGCTCTATACCCTGTGGGGGGTCCTGGATGGTGTGTGGGAGTTCGGCCAACCAACTCCCGATGTGTTGGTGGATTTGGAGAAGGCATTTGACCGTATCCCTAGGTAGGTCCTGTGGGGCTTCCTTTGGGAGTATGGGGTACCAGTCCCACTGATACTGGCTGTTAGGTCCCTGTATGACTGGTGCCTGAGCTCGTTCATCATTGCCTGCAGTAAGTCGAGCTTGTTGAGAGTTGTACTCCACCAAGGCTGCCCTTTGTCAACGATTCTGTTCATAACTTTTGTGGACAGGATTTGTAGGTGCTGCGAAGGTGTTGAGGGAATCCATTTTAATGGCCTAAGGATCAGGGGCTTCATTTATCAAGCTTGCTTACGCACAAAACGGGGTCGGAAAACTGCGTAAGCAACGTTCCACACAAACTTTGGGATTTATGAAAGAAAACTTAGCGGAAAAATGTGCGCAACTTTAAGTTGACTAAAGACCTGGCGTACGCACATTTTGGACATGGAGAGCACCTGCAGTGCTGCTGCTGAGAAGGATAACATTATGAAATCCTGCAGCATTATCTCTTCTATTGCTTTGTTTTCACACAGAACAAGACCGCCCACACGCACACACGTGCGCACGCACGCACACGCACGCACACTCACACACACACACACACACACACACGTGCACACACACTGCCTGAAGCGCAGAATACGGAATGCAGAATATCAGCAGGGGGACAGATTGAGACAGAATGTCATGCGTCTGTGACAGTGTGTGTCCTGTCACTGTGACCCGAATGATCATGCGCCCTGGCTATTTGTACAAGGGAGATTTCCATTTGGCTGACTGGGTAGTATGCATGACTTTCACCGGGGAGTCTGGGGATTGAATCCCGATTGGACCATTTGTTTTATATCCACCACAGATCTCTCTGAATAAATCACAACATTGACGGCTTCAGCAACGCTGTGCCACTCCGTGGATTTTCTCTTATTTGTTTTGCAAAAGCACTTCCTTTCATTTCTCCACCTCGCCCACAAGTACCTCAATTTCTGCTTCTGTGAAATTGCGCTTCCTTGATCTGCCTTGATCTACGGTCGCCATGTCATTGGCGGAGCGCTGCAACAGCCGGCTTATGTATATGCATGAGATCCACAAGGCACTTTGCATTGACAGTATGGCAGTGAGTGGGCGTGGTGAGGGTGGGATGTGACTAAAAAGCAGCTGAGAACCTTTCTCGTTAGTCTCCGATTTATGAAGCGGATATTGCGTGCAGCTGTGCATACTCCATGTTTTATAGATCACAAACCTACTTGGCATAAGTACATTTCTTTTGCTGAGCTTAAGTACGGTTTTAGTAAGGATTCTACGCAATATTTGATAAATGAGACCCCAGGTCTGTTTTTTTTTTACAGATGATGTGTTCCTGTTGGCTTCGAGTGTGGCCCCAGCTTTTGCTGGTGCGGTTCACAACCGAGTATGAAACAGCTGGGATGAGAATCAGCTCCTCTAAATCTGAGACCATGGTTGTCACGTTAGGTGGAGTTTTGGACCCAAAATGCTGTCTTACCTAGGAATGGCCCAGAGAGCGAGTAGTTACAAAAATAAAATCCTTTTATTAGGAGCAGTGAAGGAAGTCCATAGGCTCAGGCAAAATACTGGAACCACCAAAAAATCAAAGCACTCATAGAAGGCTAAACTAGAAACTAAAGACTGGAAACAAAGGAGGCAACAGGTAATGTTGACAGAAACTTACACACACAACAAACCGACAAACACCAGGGCTTAAATACACAGAGGGAGGTGATCGGGGGGACAGGGAGCAGGTGTGTTG